CCTCTCACAGTCTGGGACCCCTCGGGAGATAACCACCTGCTGGCTTAAGCCCCCTCCCCGGGCGGCAGATGGCAGGCCCAATCCCTCGGTGCCTGCCCCGCCTCTCCAGGTTGCACACACGGCAGGGCCGATCTGGGGGTTTGGGCGCCGCTCTAGGTCGTTCACATGGCAGGGCCGATCTGGGGGTTTGGGCACAACTCCAGGTTGTTCACATGGCAGGGCCAATTCGGGGGTTGGGGTGCCGCCCCGGGTCCTGTCGCACACAGACGCCCGCCACCCCGGGTCGCAGATAGCAGGCACAGATGGCGGCAGGGCAGGCAGGATGGTGCTGTCCCGCGCCACCGCACCGGGTCGCAAATAGCAGGCCCAGATGGTGGCGGGGCAGGCTGGATGGCACTGTCCCGCCCCACCTGCAGTATGCAAATCAGCCGCCATATTTGTTGGCTGTTAATTTGCATATCATGCTGATTAGCCAATGGGAGGAGTAGCGAAGGTATGGTCAATTACCATGTTTGTCTATTATTAGATTGGGTAGCTGTCTACTTACTCTGGGATGTGGAAAGATTCTCTATCTCTCATTCTGCCATCTTGCTGATGTCACTCTCATAGGTCTTTTGTCTGTGATCTCCTTTGTGCTTTGTTGTTCTACCACAGCACTGACCATCCATATTTTTAGTTTTTCTTTTTTAAAAATATATTTTATTGTTTTTTTACATAGAGGAAGGGAGAAGGATAGAGAGTTAGAAACATCGATGAGAGAGAAACATCGATCAGCTGCCTCCAGCACACTCCCTATTGGGGATGTGCCCGCAACCAAGGTACATGCTCTTGACTGGAATTGAACCTGGGACCCTTGAGTCTGCAGGCCGACGCTCTATCCACTGAGCCAAACTGGCTAGGGCTTTAGTTTTCCTTTTAAGATTTGCATTATTTATCCCTGCAGTGGCTCCAGTTGGATTTAAGAGGAATAATCCTTTGTGGAACTCGGGAGAAACATGACTTTATTAGTGACAGCCCAGATCCAGAGGCAGTCTTGCCTTGAAGAAGGGCTCTGGGGAAGGTTTTCACACCTGGGCTTTGATACATTCATAACTAGGAACTCATTTTGTTCAACAATGTTTTGTTAACATTGCCACTTCTCACCCAATTCTACTTCTTCTTGCTTAATGTTGACACTTTTCAGTTATAATAGTGATCATTCTACTCGGATTCCCAGCCCATGGATAACCTTAACTTCTTTAAACTTTGCACCTCTACCTGTTTCACACATCTCGCTTTACTGCACCCCAATATTGTTCCTTGCCTGCAGGCCACACGTATTATATTGACCCTGAATATCACGTGCATAATATGATTGATGGTTTATGGTTTTGAACACATTGGAATTATTCTACACAGACTCACATGGCCAGCATGAAAGGTCCTTAGGAAGCCATTTGTGGTGTAATAACGAGCAGACCCTGCCTCTCTTCTTTTTGTGCCAGCGTATGCATCTGTCCTCCCTTGGTGAGATTTTCCTCATCCAGTGACCTTTTGGGCCATGTTATATATAACAGCCATTTCCTGAGAGTCTGACTCACTTTTTTTGAAAATCATTGTATGGAATCATGTCCAGTTGTGACATAAATTATTGTGGTGAAGATATTCTGTTTTGATCAGGTCGACATGCACTTTTGCTACGTTTCTTTTCTTCAGGTTGCTGCTGTGATGCAGAGAATGTGGAGGCCCCGACAGAACAAAAGGTTTCTGTAAGATTGTCACAGGCACGGAATCCCAAGTTAGCCTTGTCTTCCCAGAAGAGCCACCCCTGTGAGAGTTGTGGGCTAGTCTTGGGAAACATTTTCCACGTGATGGAGGGTCAGGAAACACAACACAGACAGATACTGTTGAGGTGTGGGGCGTGTGCAAAATGGTTTTATTTCCGTGCAAAATTTCACCAGGAACATGTGAGAGAGAAGACTTTCACTAGAGGTGTGGACAGGATGTCACTTGCAAACAGCTGCAATTTCAGTGTGTGCCAGAATCGTTTCACATGCGGGGAGGTTGGGCTTAGTGTACTTACTGGGTCAGGACATCTCCACCTAAAGGCTACTCAGACCAGGGACAGTCCAACTGCAATTTCGACATGTGGTAATACATATCAAAGGAGAAAAAATTTTTATAATAGAAAAAAATGTAAGAGAGACACTAGTTGCACCCACACGTTTATTCAGGAAACGGATGTCCATCTTGGAAGTCGATGTTTTATGTCCTCTGAATGTGGAAAATATTTTACCAAATTTTCTAGCTTTCATTATCAACAGAGAGGTCATACTGGAGAATGGCCTTATCACTCAAGTGAATGTGGGAAATCTTTTACCGAGAGCCCTGCCCTTTGTAATGATCAGACACTTCATAAAGGAGAAAAGCCTTATAAATGCAGTGAATGTGAGAAATCTTTTACCGCTAAGAACATCCTTCTGCAACATCAGAGATTTCATACGGCAGAAAAGCCTTATAAATGTAGTGAATGTGGGAAGTCTTTTATTGCTAAGAGCATCCTTCATCGTCATCAGAGAGTTCATACAGGAGAAAAGCCTTATCAATGCAGTGAATGTGGGAAAGCTTACACCACTAGCACTAATCTTTCTTATCATCAGAGAGTGCATACTGATGAAAGACCTTATCAATGCAGTGAATGCAGAAAATCTTTTACCACTAGCACCCAACTTCGAATTCATCAGAGAGTTCACACTGGAGAAAAGCCTTATCAATGCAGTGAATGTGGAAAATCTTTTACCTATCGCAGTGGTCTCCAATATCATCAGAGAGTTCACACTGAAGAAAAACCTTATCAATGCAGTGAATGTGGAAAATCTTTTATCACTACGGCCGACGTTCATCAACATCAGCGTACTCACAGTGGAAAAAAGCCTTTTAAATGCAGTGAATGTGGAAAATCTTTTACCCAGAGCACTACTCTTCGTTTTCATCGGAGAGTTCATACAGGAGAAAAGCCTTATAAATGCAGTGAATGTGGAAAATCTTTTACCCAGAGCACTACTCTTCGTTTTCATCGGAGAGTTCATACAGGAGAAAAGCCTTATAAATGCAGTGAATGTGGAAAATCTTTTACCCAGAGCACTACTCTTCGTTTTCATCGGAGAGTTCATACAGGAGAAAAGCCTTATAAATGCAGTGAATGTGGAAAATCTTTTACCCAGAGCACTACTCTTCGTTTTCATCGGAGAGTTCATACAGGAGAAAAGCCTTATAAATGCAGTGAATGTGGAAAATCTTTTACTACTAAAACCATGCTTGATCGACATCAGCGAGTTCATACTGGAGAAAAGCCTTATAAATGCAGTGAATGTGGGAAGTCTTTTATGCAGAGCAATGCCCTTCGTAATCATCAGAGAGTTCATTCGGGAGAAAAGCCTTATCAATGCAGTGAATGTGGGAAATCTTTTACCACTAAGTACATCCTTCATGAACATCAGAGAGTTCATACAGGAGAAAAGCCTTATAAATGCAGTGAATGTGGAAAATCTTATAAAAGTAGCAATGGTCTCCAATATCATAAGAGAAGTCACACGGGAAAAGCCTTATAAATGCAATGAATGTGGGAAATCTTTTCCCTCTAAGACCAGCCATTGTCAACATCGGAGAGTTCATATGGGAGAAAAGCTTAATAAATGCAGTGCATGTGGGAAATCTTTAACTGCTAAGAACATCCTTCATCAATATAAGAGAGTTCTTAGAGGAAAAAAGCCTTATAAATGCACTGAATGTGGGAAATGTTATAAAGGTAAAAGTGGTCTCCAATATCATCAAAGAGTTCACAATGGAGAAAGCTATTATACGTGCATTTAACTCTAGTTCTCATGTGAAGATGGATGCTTTGAGACATAGAGATCACTCCAAAGATGGGGTAGCTGTGACAACCTCAAGTATATCTGGGAGCATGAATTTTTCTTTTTTGCAAGCAATGCCAGTACCTGTGAAGTAATTATCTTGCCAGGGTCTTGCAGAGGGCTATGTGCCCTAATGCCTACAACATCATGGGTGATGGTCACTGGTTTGAGCACAGTTGCATTCAGGGGAAACCCTTTCACTACAGAAACACTGACGTAATTGTTGTTGGATGAGACTGCACACTTTTAGATGGAATGGTCCTCATCTAACTGTGCATCCAGGAATTATTTTGAGGAAAAGACTACAAGAGCTGTGTGTACACACATCTGAGGGACTCCAGGCATGTTTATCTTCTGTGGAGCAGTCATTGTCATTGATTATAATCAAGATGTTTTCTGGCTCCTGTAGTTCCTCAGAAGTTCCCATCAGAGCCATTGGTGCGCTGGCATCAAAAGAAAGATGGAGAAATTAAAAATTGAAAAAAAAATTAAACAAAAATACAGTACAAAGAAAAAGAAAGATGGAGACAATGGCTGTCTTTAGTTCAGGAATGTGGCTTTTGTGGGTTTGGGTGAAAGTTCTTCATCATTTATTACATTTTCTGTCACTGAGATGAGACTCTCACCCAGCGGACATAAGTTCGGGGATTGACTATAGAGTTGCCAAACCTGTTCTTCCAGCATACCATTGAACCATTTTTAACAGGTATAATGAGTAAATCACATGTGTTGGATACAGTGTTTCATAAATCTTGACATGTGCATGAAACTGAAACCATCAGTATAGTCATAACGCTGACCATATCTTTCTCTGTGTAATTGGATAATGACTTCTTTTAATTTGTCCGTTATTCACAGCTTTCCTATTTTCCATGGGTTTACATTCCATTTTTGTAGAGAACTTTATTTTTCTAAGTATTTTTCTGGTTTAGTTTATGTTTCATAAATACTTGGAGATTTATTAAAGTTACACTAGTAACTCTGTTTTTTTCTGATCGATATTCTTATCATTGATTTATCACCGTCAGTTTGCCCATTTTAATAAATAATTTGCTTATTTCTAATAAAGCTAGTACAAACATTTCTGTATAATTCCTTGTATGTATATAAGTGTTATTTACCTTTGTCAAAATTTCATTGCATAGTGGGTGGTTTTTGAGTAGAGGAATGTTTAAATTTACCGACATTAGCAAATTGTGACCTAATGGAATATACCACCAGGGCCGGTGTGGGTCAGTGCTTGGCCATCATCTCGTGCACCACAGGGTTGTGGAATTGATTGCCAGTGGAGATATGTGCCTGTGTTGTGGGCTAGATCCACAGAAGTGGGTGTGCAGGATGTCACTGGCCAATATGGCACTCTTCCAGCACTGTTTCTCTCCCTCCCTTCTCTCTCTAAAATTTAATAAACTATTCTTTAAAAATAAAAAATAAACCTTTCCCTAGCCAGTTTTGAACAGTGGATTGAGCGTCAGTCTGCGAACTAAAGAGTCCCTGATTGGATTCCAGCCAAGGGTACATGTCTGGGTTTGGGGCTGAATCCCCAGTAGTTTGCCTGCAGGTGGTGCGATCAATGATTCTCTCTCCCTCTGACTCCCTCTTTGAAGTCAATAAGGAAATATGGTTTAAAACAGAAAACATCAATGTCTATGAGCATGTCTCACTAAGAATGGAGTGACTCAACCAATAGCTGAGCTCTATGGTATGCTAATAAGTAATAAAGATTGTTTTTAAAAAATAAATAAAATAAATCTTAACTGATTGTACTTTTTTGCATTTTTCCAGTGGTGTGTGAGGGATTCACATTCGTCACATCCTAGAGAATATTTTGTTTGGTCAATCATTATTTATTTAAACATTTTATTTTGTAAGTTTCTCATGGTACCTCACTGTTTGATTGTATTTTTTCTAGGAATTTACGGTGAGCCTTTTCTCAGAAGTGTATTTGATGAGTCTGTATCTTTGTTAAAACATCTTACCGTATGTTCTGCCTAATGTGCTGTGAGTTTTGGCAATTTTCTTTAACAATAGGACAGTGGAACAACAAAGATGGATGTTGGCATTTCACTCATTTTGTGCATTTTTACTTTAAAAAATAAACATTTTTTGTATTGGGATAATATGTTTTAATATTTTTTCTTTAAAAAAATATTTTAATTGCCCTACCTGGTTTGGCTGAGTGAATAGAGTATCAGCCTTCGGACTGAAAGGTCCAGGGTGAGCTCCTTGTCAAGGGCAGGTGCCCAGGTTGCGGGCTCAATCCCCATTGTGGGGCCTGCAGGAGGCAGCCAATCAGTCGTTCTCTCTCATCGTTGTTTCTCTCTACCTCTCCCTTCCTCCCTGAAATCAATAAAAATATATTTA